ATTTCTCATGTCATTTTTTGTGTCAACTGTTAAATTTTTAATGGTTGTTGTGCGCGATTTGCTCCACTTTTCCAAATTTCTAAAATGCTAATGATATTTTCACTTTAGCGAGAAAGTTTACAGATTTTCTGAAAAAAGAATGTTCACTGCTTCTTCTTCAATGTTACATTTTCCAACCTTCCAACCCGATTTCGCCCCTTTTTCATTTTATTGCGATCATGTTAAAAAAAATGCACTTTTTTCAACTTTTCTAACGTCAGCTCATATGACAATTCTGATGTCATTTTTTGTGTCAAGTATTCAATTCTACCTAACCTCTACTGACGACTTAAGTTCACAAAATGATAATTTTTATGTCATTCTCTCGCGTCAACTATTCGATTGTTTGCGCGATTTGCTCCATTTAAATTTCTAAAATGTGCAGGATTTTTTATTTTCGTGAGAAAATTTGCAGATTTTCTTCGGAAAAAGTGTTTCCAACCTCTCAATGATTTTTTCCCAACATAAAGAACGTGTTTCTAAAAACGACCTTCTTAAAATTTTCTAACGTCGTCCGCTCACAGTCTGAGCTCACAAATGGATGACTTTTCTCATGCCATTTTGTAAAAAACGTCTAAATTTCCAAAATTGCAAAGATTTTTTTTATTTTTAGTGAGGAGGTGCAAATTTTCTAGAAGAGTTTACTGTTTTTCCTCGATTTAGCTTCTGAATTTCTTCTTCCAATTTCTTTTTCCAACCAAATTCCAGCTTGCCCAGAGGAAGAAGGTTTCAACCATTCAATATTTTCTAGCTGCAATTTTTTGGGCGTTTGCTCACAATCTCGGGCGATTTCCCGACCAGAGCAATCACAGAAGCAGACTTTGTTTTCAGAATGTTGCACTTTCGTTCCTTCTAGAACCTTTAGGAGTTTCTAGACCCGATGAGCATGGGATTGTTTTCCATTTTGATCCGCTCAAATTTGAGCAGTTTTTTGCATAACACCCAAAATAACCAACCTGTTCCAGACAGATGATGGCGGCTGAACCAATCGGCAGCTTCAAAAACGGTACCACTATTGAGATGACTCGGAACTGGAGAACGTAGTAAGCCAGCAAAGCCAGTAACCAGCAGCTGTCCCACACCTGAACGTTCTGAGCTGCAATCAATCAATCTCTGAGCATTTTTCAATGGCACAAATTTCAAAAAGTACCTTTGGGAGGGAAATTTGAGCGGATGGTTGCCCACAGGTTGAAGCACAAGTATGAAAGAACGGCAGCAATGTTGAGGGCGATCCAGACAGCGAGCGCCCAATGAAACTTTCCGAGTCCAGCTTTGATCACTTTAAATCCCACTCGAAACCTGCAAGGCATTGGGATGAATATTTCAATCTAAGGCGAGTTTTTCGCCTCCACTCACTCGCCATGGTCGAAAAAGTCTTGCAGCACGGTGTTCAGAAACAGGCCGATTAGAAAAGCGGCAAAAATGTGTTTTACCACTTTGATGTGCGGATTTTCGCACAGAATGGTTAAGAGGGAGTCGCGAACTTGGAACTTTTTCGTGGGCAATTCTCGCACTCTTCGCTGCCTGAAACCAACAGGGAAATTACCGTAAAGCAAAAATTCAACTGAAAATACGTACCGACTTGTTTTGGAATCGCTTTTCACCGTTTGGTCGATTTCTTTCCCCATATTAGTTTGCGCAACTAAAAAAAACAGCCATTAGCGGACGATAGTATCATCAATAAGGACGAAGACGGTTCGATTTCGGCACGGGAATTTAATGTTTTTTTCGTGTTTGTTTAATGCTCATTTCGATAATCGCTAATGATAATAACGATAATTGAAGATCGTTCGTTGAACAGGGCGTGCTTCGGAACGAGTTTTCTGCAAAATTGGCTAAGAAAAGCCTGTATGTGCAGTTTGTTTGTTACATTCATACAATTCGGACATTCTGGTACATTTTTCCATACTTACCCTTCTTTTGCAAACGCAGGACAAAATGCAGCCACACATTAAACAACACAAAACTCTTCACAGCATGCCTGGCTTAATTATCGGCATTTTACTCTTTTCCAATACGCATTTATGTGGCAACAACAACCGGACCAAAGAGTAAACTTTGTATTTAATGTACGACAACTGTTGCTTTCAATTGACTTGATTTAAAGCCTCTTATCTACTGGACAGGGATGGACTGGAATTCCTATCACAAAGCCATCTTTCATGAATATAGTTTAGCTCGTTTGCCCACATGGAATCAATCATGAATAAACCTCCTGAGTGCATCCCTGGGTGTGAGTAAAATCACATTTCCAAGAAAACTCAGTGGCGCAATGATGCATAATCGTACGAGTGAATTCGAGGTCAATCGAATCAAATCAATTATTTCAGTGCAACAGGAAGAGGGATGGATAGACTCAGTGAGTGGAACAGGGCGGCCCTTTAAACGCCTGCGCTAGAAAGAGACTGCAGAAGTTAACCCCGCCCACTTTTCCCGGGGAAACCCGGTTCAAGCCGATCACCATCGGGTCGTTGCTCCTTTTCCAGCATATCTATTTGGTGACTTTCCTTGTCCCACTCAACATTCAAATTCCAAGTATGGAGACGCTTTTCATGCGTGCAAAGAGGCAATTTATTCGAGCCCTGCTCGGACCTGTCGTTTAAACGGTCAACGGATGGACGCACAAACAGAGAACACACGTGGGTTTTTTATCAGGCAAACATGCGAACCAGGTTATTTCAAGAGACCCTCCGGTCAGTCGAATTGTCCATCGCCAACCAACCGGATCGCATTCGCCAGCCCGCATAACGGCAGGAATTCGATTAATGCCAAGAATGTCCTGGCGGAATCTCGTGGCGGACTTCTTGGATATTTTCTGCCAGCAGGAGCGCAGAAGTGGCATCGAGAAGCGCGAGCTGCTTGTGCCGGCAGGTAGAGCTTGACTGAAGAGAAAACGCGCCTCGAATGCCTCCAAAATCCCGAGCTTTAAACCCAGACTTCCCTTAAAGGCTCAGGAGCGGGTTTAAAGGGGCTCAAGTGGGTTTTTTGGGTTTAATGTGCGGAAACTTGCGGGTTTATTAGTGAGGAAACGCGGGCATTTTTATTCGGGGCTTGCCCACATGGAATCTCTTAGAGCGTCCTGCAATCTGCCGGCTTCTTCTGCTGCCCTGTTAGCTGGGATATTGCCACATTTAACAAAAATTCTTCGAATGAATTCGTGAATTCCATTCGAATTCTTCCGGCGCCCAAGCGCTTTGCCTATCTAGAATGAGGGGAAAATTTCAATGAACACTCAAGTCAAAGGGTTAAAAAAGGAAGCTTTATCAATACGAAGATTGTGTGGCCCTGCTAAGGGCCACACCCTTAAATCCCAGAGGGTTTTGATTTACGTTTTTTAAGCAGTTTTCTTTCTAGTGGATGTTTTTACTGTACCAGTCAGTTTCTTTGCGTCTTTCGCCGGATATTAATTATTATGAATGACTGTCTGTTGCGTTTAAGCAGCATTTCATCCGCCACTGGTTGGGGTTCGAGGCCTTCAAGTTGGCCCGCCATCATCGTTAAATTTGGAGATCGACGATAGACGGCAGGCCCGAAACGTTCGCCTCTTGTTCTGTTCGCCTGGTGCCGAAGCCCTGTTAGTTATGAATTATTAGAAAATGATAATTTTCGAGAACCGTCATAATTTTATGACGCGTTGCCTGCGGTTTCCGGTCGGTTTCCTGCGGCTCAAACTGCCTCCTTTGCCACTTTGTGCTTGCTGTTGCAATGCGCGCCTTTTCCCTGTTGGTTTTGTTCGGTTTTCACCTGATTTTGTTCGAATAAATAAAGTAAACAGTTTAGAAAGTCTGTGTATGTGTGGTGCAACTTCGGGTATTTCCAAACTTCACTCATTCCAGCTGAAATTTCGAAGAAATCATTTGGGACGCATGTGGGTGGAAAAATGCCATAAACAATTATTTGCAGTAAAATTTCTCTGTTTTTCTGTCGACTGACTGGTTGGTTGGTTTGGTGGATTGTTGTTTGTCTTGATTTTTTCTTTGCATATTGAGTTATCAAACAGCGGTCCAAACTATCAGGCGCCCATAGCAGGCCGTAGGCTCCCCCTGCAGGATTCTCTGCTGCACAGTTTTATGTTGCCAAATCCTACGTTGTAAACCTGCCTGCAGGCAGCCTTCAACAGCCATACAGGAGCAGGAAGTCAATGACTTTCCCCAGCCCCAGATTCCCCGGAAAAACTCCTGCCAGCCTCAAAATAATTGAGAAAATTGCTTGTGCAGCCCAGTCAGGCAAGACCACTTGGCAATGCGGCTCAGATGTTTCAAAAC